GCTATGTTGTCACAGTTACAGAAAACAGACTGACATATCCAGTTTTTTTTTTTTGCATGTATTTCTTTAAATTATTTTATGTATACTTCCTACACTTACGAGAAATACAGCATACATACCCAAGGTCTTTAAAGATTCTTGGAACTTCTTCTTCAAATTTCGTGTCAGGGAGTTCATAGGAAGGGCACAGAAAACCATAAAGAAAAGCAAAGATCTTCAGGAAGTCTTTAACAGATGGAGCTTGTAGTGATTTCATGGATACACTGTATGCATAGCCATTTTCTGTAAGAAACTAAAATAATATTTATTAAAGCCAAACATTTTGTAATTGAAAAATCACTGGAAATGATTTATTGGAACAGCTCAACTTATAAATTACCTCACAGAGTTGTCTAATACACTGCTGAATGAAGGCTTTGTCATTAACTGGTCTTGGGTCTTTGATTTTTTCAGAACTGAAAAATACACCAAACTGACTATTCCGGGATCCATGTCCACTAGTTCTGGAAAAAATATATTTTTAAAAAGTTAGTTAAAACAATTTCCTTTTGTGGTTAACTCTAAGTTTCAAGTCAATAATGTGTATGTCTGTGTATAAATTTTAAAAGATTTATTTATTTGAAAGGCAGAGAGCGAGAGAGAGACCTTTTATTTGTTGGTTCACTTTCCAAGTGCCCACAACAGCCAGGGACAGGAGAAGCTGAAGTTAGGAAGCAGGAATTCCACCATGTCTTCTGTGTGGTGTCAGGAGTCTCAGTCCTTGGGTCCTCACCTCCTGGCTCCCAGAAGCAACAGAAGGAAGCTGGATTGGAAGTGCAACATAGCTCACACATGAATCAATCATTCCAACACGGATTGTACATGTGTCCCAAAAAGGGCCTGAGCCTTTGTGCCAAAATGTCTGTTCTTTCTGCATCTGAGAAGCAGGAAAGACAATTCCCATCTGTTGCTTCACTCTTCCAGAGCTGGCAACGGCTAGAGGTGCCCAGACTGGAGATGGGAAGTAGGAAATTTAATCCAGGTCTTCCACATGGCTTGAGTTAGCATTTCTATGTCCCAGGGTTTGCAGCAGCAGGACGTTGGGGGAGTCAGGAGCCAGAACTGGCAATCCAGCGTAGGTACTTCTGAAGTAGGACATAATGGTCTAACTGGCATCTTAACCACTGGGCTAAATGCTGGTCCTGGAACTGATGTGATTTGTTCATTTATTTGTTTAAAAATTTAGTTACTTATATCAAAGGCAGAGTCAGAAAGAGAGAAAGGGAGGGAGAGCGAGAAATAGCAAATGATCAGCCATCTGCTGGTTCACTATCAACATGATGGTCAGAGTTCTGCCTAGCTGAAGCCAAGAGCTTCTCTGGGTTCTTCCATGTGTATGCCCAGGGGCCCAAGCACTTGGGCTATGCTCCACTACTTTCCTAGGCACCTTAGCAAAGAGCTTATGGGAAGTGATACAGTCAAGGCTTGAAACGGCACCCATGAAATTGCAGCAGTGCCAGTGGGGACTTTATCTGCTATGCCACACTGACGGCCCTCTGATGTTAGATTTTAACATCAGCACCAGATAGTAAAGTTTAGTTATGTATTGACTGAAAGCTAACTTTTTAATTTAAATTTAGATTTCTAATATGATGAATTTTGAAATACGGCTCACAAAGCTCTTTCAGGAGCTGCCGTTTAGCTTAGCGGGTTAAGATGCCAGCATCCCCTGTTGGTGTACTGGGTTTAACACCTGAGTGGCTCCTGGCTCCAGCTTCTTCGCTACACCATAGGCCTCAGGAGGGTTGTTGGCTCAGGTAACTGGTTCCCCCACATCATCTGGCAGACCTTGTCTGAGTTCCCAGCTGCTAGTTTCAGCTCAGCACAGCTTCTGGCTGTTGAGAGTCTTTGGGGAGTGAACCAAACACACTTGTTGGTACTATCATACAGTCTGAAACTTCAACCTTTTAAAACCGAGAAAAGTAGTCTGTCACTTCTCTTGGAAGGAACCATGTCATCTATTTTATTTTTTTTCTCTGAGGGTATCAAATGCATGTTTAGGGGAATCCTTTTAGTAGAATTAATTTAAAAAATTACCTTTTACCAAACACAGAAACTTTTCTTTCAGATGTGGGTTTGTTTACACTCAGCTTTCCAAAGGTTGGTCTTTCCTTGCTTTAAGAAAAAACAGAAAACAAGTCCTAAGTAAATATATAGAAAGCAACAGTTGTCAAGCAACTTTTGGAAATATATTTTGGAACTAACACTTCTTCTCCATTCTGTATAAAAAAAAATCATTCAAAATCCTAAGAACTTTTAGCAGTAACAATATCTGATATACATGAAAGGGCTTAAGACAGTGGAAGACATAATGCCAAAAATGAAGATACATGCATTTTCATTATTTAATATTAACAATTTAATTTTTAGGGTTTGTATTAAAATACATTTAGGAAAATAAGGAAAAAGAAAAATGTAGACAGTCCAGTTATAGGATATTGTCTACAATTAAAGATTTCTTCTAAAGCTTGCTCTTTATTAGACTAGAGTTACGTGTAACACTCATTATCTAAATTGCAGACAAAAAAAAATCACATTAATAAGCTTTTTAAATACAATTCAAGGCATAACATCTTTTAGTTTATGTAATGTACAGTAGTACAAAAAATTCTGTTTGAAGTATTCAGAAGAAAAAGTATTCCAAATTTCTAGAAGTAGCAGAGGCTCATGTCAGATAGCCTAAGCAATTTAAGATTAGCAAGCAACTTTCCCTTCAATATTAAAGGACTCGTATGTTTTCACATAACCTTGTGTTAACTGAAAGAAGTTTCCTCCCTGGGGAAAACCAGTGTCTGAGCAAGTTTTCTGGGAACCTTTGCCCGGGGAATCCTGAGGAAGCAGTCGAGGGAAGCAGAGCTCTTAGGTTCGGCTACATTCCAGCCTGGCATCCGGCTTAACAGTTATACTAGTTAGAAACAACTTAGTAAAGTGAGTTACAGCACAGTGCCTGTTCAAACATGAAGCTCCAGGACAAAGGAGAGAAAGAATGCTACAAGGGAATCACAAGTCCTCTTGGGCAGCGCTAGGTAAAGCATTTGGCTTTAGGGATTTAACAAACAAATCATGTTATACAGGATACTTAGCATATGCCCGCTTTGCGGTTTCACGCCCTGTTAGGCCAGCTGGGAACACAGCACTGGCATCTTTGATGAATCTCTGTGACCGTATCCGCACAGCTGGCGGCGCTTAGCTACTTACGTTTGAGGCGTGTGCAGGCTCTGTCTGTTGAGGTCCAGAGATCGCAGCTCCTGCATGGAGAGGCGGCCAGCACCTCCAGTGGACAAGGAACTGTGCTTCATGCCTAGGCCCTGCAGGCACGGAGCACGTATTAGAACCACTTTCACATTGCAGATGACACATTAAGGCACAGCTATTACCCTTGTCCTGACAGAAAGGCAGCTACATCTCATGGTTTCAGCAAGATGACACTCTTCCTGAGTCATGTTATTGGTTCATGTACCTAAAGTCCTTTCACAGGTGACATTAATTTCATTTACATCTTTGAGAGACAGAGAGGGCTTTTCCAGCACCTGTTTTATGTTCAATATTCGTGCATGGGCTGGGCCAGATTGAAGCCGGGAACTTGGAACTCAACCAGGCTCTCCCGCGGCGCTAGGTAGTTGACCCATCCTGTGCCCCCTCCGCAGGTGCACAGGCGCGGCAGGGTGCCACTGGAGCTGCCACTTGAACCCACACTCCGACTCAGGATGTGGCTGGGCCAAGGTGTCCGATATACATAAACATCTACTAGCTGCCCACCACGTAGAAGGGATTATGTTAGACATGTAGGAGCTACAAAGATGAAAGCCAGATTCCAGACTTCCCAAGGGGACCCCCGGGGACAAAAGTCCTGATAATTAACCTTATTGCAAGTCCCTATTTCAATGAGAAGTCAGTGTGTCAACACACCACGAAATTTTTCTTTTTTTTTTTTTTTGTATTTCCAAGGAAAGAACTATTTTGTTTTCTTTTGAAAAGTCAATTTCTCCTGTTCATATTGGACCCACTTTCCTTCTAGATCATATTCAGTTACTGTCCATTGCTTCACTCTCCCCACACGTACAAATATCTCTTGGTATTTGAAATGGTCTAGAGGCTGACTGCAATTTAAACACTCACTGCCTTCACACCCACTGAACAGGCTGCTTGCCCGGATTTTCGGAACTGACCAGCCTTTGGTTCCCGTGTCCTCTGCCGAGCTGGGCAGCACCCACCAGCCCACCCTGACTCCTGCAAGGCGGACAGACGCTGTGGCTACCCCTCTGCTTCTCCGGGCACTCTTGTGGATGTGGACCGTCTGTTTCTTCTCCTAAAAACGCACGCTTGTCCCTCTAAGTCAGCTCTCCGCCTCTGACCTCCATGTCCGTGTCTCCATCTCGGTGCACCGTGGCAAACGGACTTTGAGGCTAAGCTCTCCAGACGTAACCCTGCCCAGGGTCACTGGTTCTCCCCGCCAGCGCCCCAACGCGGACCCTCGCCGGATTTTCCCCTTCCCCGGCCTCTCGTCCCTCCCTCAGGGTGCTCCGGACAGCCCCATCTCCTGCACAAATCCGTCGGACCCGGGTTCCACCGGCTCCTCTCCCTTCCGTAAACGCGGCCCCGCGCGCCGCCCCTTCGCTTCCTCCCACCACAGTTAGCCCGAGGTTCTTAGTTACCTGTCCTCCAGTTTCCAGACTGGAATCACGGGCCGAGTCTCTGCAAGCCGCTTGCGCAGGAGAAAAGCCGCCAAGACAAGCGTTTCGTCCGCCCGCCCGAGCGGTTTGAATTTTAAAATCTCCGCCGGAGCTGACGACAGCGCGCACGACGTGCTCGCGCATGCGCCCGCTCCAGGGCCCCGCCCCTCGTGTCGGGGACGGCTAGCTGGCCTCCTCCTGCCGCCCGCCGCTTGTCGCCCGCCGCCTCGCGGACACCCTGGCGTCGGGGGCGGTGTAAGTGTTGTCCGCGCGGTGCGGCCGGACGGACCCCGGAGTTAGCTCGCAAGGGCCCCGGGCTCCGTGTCGCCGGGAAACGCGCTTCCGTACAAGCGCATGGCGGCGCCCCGTTCAGTCTGAGAGGAGACCTGAGGAGGCGCCCGAGCCGCGGTGCGGAAGGTGCTGCCGGGCGCCTGGGCGGGCGGCCTGGCGTGTTCTGACCGGGCGCGCGGCTGCTGGAGGCGGACGTGGCCGCGGGCAGGACGCCGGGGTCAGGATCGCACGGAGCACCGTGGATGACAGTGGGGACTCGCATCTGAACCCCGAGACCTGCGTTGTCCCAAACGTGGAGAGTGGCGGGCGTGGGAAGAGGTCTTGTCACACTTCTGCCGTGGACTTACAATGTCGGGCAAATCAGCCTTGTGCTCAGTGTTGGAGATTTCCCGTCTGGGTTTCTGTGCCCCTAGCTCTTCCTCTCGCGCTCAGCCCCGACCTGGTGAACGTGAGGAGTTGGGGACGCGCGTCCTCAGCAGTAGCAGTAATTGTTTAGCCTTTAGCTGAACACTGCATTGCACGTGCAATAATATCATTTGATTCTTTAAACGGGAGGGCCATTAAAAAAAAAAGGCAACTGTGAGGCTCAATTAAATCATGATCATACTCCTTATACAGAGAGTTAAAAAAATTGGATTCTAAATGCCACAGTTACTGTGCTATGAGCCACTTATTTCTTGTTCTGTCCCCTCGTTAGTTCACCAGTGTAGTAGCTCTAGAAAGCTGTCTCCAGCACTCCAAGCCATCTTTTGAAAAGTGTATCGCTGCCTTTCACGTAAAGTGAAACAAAATAAATAATAAAAATGGTCACCCCTATTGGGTCACCCAGTATTGGAGTGCCTGATTCCAGCACCTGCTAGCCTGCTCCCTGCCCAGGTGTCCTGCCCGGGCATCGCTTGGCAGCAGCTGGTAGTAGCTCAGGCAGCCACGTGGGACACCCGGATTGGCTTCCGGTTCTTGGCTTCGGACTAGCCCGACATTTGGGGAGTGAACCAGCGGTTGAAAGATGTCTGTCCTTGTCTGCCTGCCTCTAAAATGAATTTCATGTCGTATTTCCCTGTGTGTGCTGGAAAGTTGGGTTTTTCTTCTAACTGAGCTTTTGTTTTCCTTTTTTCAAGGAAGGAGATGGCAGTGGTACACCAGTTGTCATCTGGGTGGTTGCTGGATCATCTTTCTTTCCTTACCAAGATAAACTATCAGCTTGGCCAGCCTGGCGGGCCTTGGGGCAGTGAGAGCGAGCCCCCTGCCGTCCCCTCGGACTCTCTCCCAGCAGAGTCTCCACGTGCCCTTGCTGACTCCTCCTCCAAGCCGCCGACTGTTGGTGGAGGAAGTTGTCAAACGTTCACACAAAAATACACTTTCCGAGCTGAACTGTTTAATATCACCAAGCCTTATATAACTCCGGCTGCTCACCAGGAGTACCAGCAAAGGGATGGGAAGCATGATCTGGAAGAAGACAAAAAGGAAAACTCCGTTTCTGTTATTGGAAAGGTAGAAAGTTTTAAGACTCTTGTTTTTTTTTTTCTTCCTACAGAAGAAAGCAAATGTAGTGTCCTGGTATCACAAATATTTTGTGATTTATTCAGCATAAAGAAAAACCAAGAGAGCAATAAGAAATCGTTGGCATAACTAGAGTAATTTTTTAAAAAAAAAATTTCATTTTATTTATTTATTTATTTATTTATTTTATTACATTGCATTATGTGACACAGCTTTTTAGGCACTGGGGTTCCCCCCTACCCCTCCCCAAACCCTCCCCCCATGGTGGATTCCTCCACCTTGCTACATTGCCACAGTTCAAGTTCAGTTGAGGTTCTTTCATTGCAAGCATATACCAAGCATAGAGTCCAGCATCTTATTGTCCAGATAAGTTCAATGGGTTCTTGGGGAGACCTTCTCTCGTCCGAAGGTAGAGCCGGCAGAATGTCATCCCGGCCAATCAAAAGCCCCAACATAACATCCACGACAATCCACAGCGTCATGGCATTAGTGGACACTAGAGTAATTTTTAACTCTTTCCTAACAGTCTGTGAATTTTAACAGGCCAAGTTGTTTATTTCACAACTTGCTTATTTATCGGTAAAGTTGGATTGAAATTGAATGTTTGTGAGTTGAAAGCAATCAAACAAGCAAGCAAGAACTCTACGTGCTCAGGCGTTTATGTGAATCGAATGTTTTTACAGTTATTTTTTTCCTGAAAGAGATTTTTTGTTATATAACTGTTGTCTCTATTTATTTATTTTTATTGGAAAGTCAGATTTACAGAGAAGAGGAGAGACAGAGAGGAAGATCTTCCATCTGATGATTCACTCCCCAAGTGGCTACAATGGCTGATGCTATGCCCATCCGTAGCCAGGAGCCTGGAGCTTCCTCTGGGTTTCCTACGTGGGTGCAGGGTCCCAAGGCTTTGGGCTGTCCTCGACTGCTTTCCCAGGCCACAGGCAGGGAGCTGGAAGGGAAGTGGAGCTGCCGGGAGTAGAACCAGTGCCCATATGGGATCCTGGAGTGTGTGTAAGGCGAGAACTTTAGCCACTAGGCTACTGCTTCAGACCCCCAAGTATAATCTCTTAAAGACTGAGATACATAATGTAAAAATATAACAGAAAAGAAATATTAATATATTTAAATAAAATCTCAATATTGTGATGGTGTATAACATAATTTTTCCTCTGTGATTTATCTACCTGTAGAAGCGCAAAAGATGTTTTTTCAATCAAGGTGAATTGGATGCTATGGAATACCATACAAAGGTAGGTGTGAAATGTTCTTTGATCATATGGGAAGATAAACGCAAAGTAGTGCAGAATGACAACATGAATAAAGATGTTCTTCCAAATCAGTCATTTTTCAATCAGGGTTACAATTTTATCTTGTTTTGCTATTTTTATAGTATTGAATAGTTTAAATAAATTTTTTATTGCAACTTCATAAATCAGTTTAAGAAATTTAAATTTATGCTATATTGATTGGAGATTTTGGAACTTAGGAAAGCCCATTCTCCATTGATAAAAAAAAAATTTATGTTCTGATGGTGGAACGGGGCAGGCATTGTGGTGCAGTGGGTGAAGCCTTCTGCTACAGTTCCAGTGTGTTACGTGAGCACTGGTTTGAATCCTGGTTATTCTGTTTGTGCTCGGACTCCCTGGTAAGGAGCCTGAGAAACAGGTGGCTGCTGGCCTGGGTACCTGAGCTCCTGTCGGTCATGTGAGGCACCTGTATGATGCTCCCGACTTTTGCCAGGCCCAGCTCTAGCTGTTGTGGTCATTTGGGGAGTGAACCAGTGGGTAGAACGTCTCTTTGTCTCTCTTTCCCTGAAATTTAAATAAAAGGGGAAAAAAGGTGGTGGCCAAAGAAAGCATGAGTGCTGTAAAAGCTGAGTTTTTTGTTACCTGTTATTTGTTTCAATGGGAAGCTTTGAAGGATCTCAAACGTCCAAACTTGAACTGAATAAGCCCATTTACTTAAAAATTCTTTTAATGTCAGTGTCTTTTCATTGTACTTAATTTTTTTTCGTTATAGATCAGGGAGCTGATTTTGGATGGATCTTTGCAATTAATTCAAGAGGGGCTCAAAAGTGGTTTTCTTAATCCACGTTCTGAAAAGCAGGACGGGCGTGGGGAGCCTGTCACGTTACCGGCTGATACCTGCAGCTTGTCAGGGTTATGCACCATGGCCAAGCATTTGCCTTCGCTCAATGAGACTGAACTTCAGACGTTACACTTGATGGAGGATGACTTGTCTGTTACAGAGAAGGATTTATTTTCACGGCTTGTTGAAAACAGCTCTAGATTTACAAAAATGATTACTTTGATGGGACAGAAATACTTGCTGCCGCCAAAAAGCAGTTTTCTTTTGTCTGACATTTCTTATATGCAACCACTTCTAAATAGTAAGTATTTATGTTTATTATTACTAAATGTAGTTTTTCTGCAGTCTTAAAAGTTAAGAGGGCATCTGAATTTATTTATTTATTTATTTATTTATATTGGAATGTCAGATTTACAGAGAGGAGAGACAGAAAGAATGATCTTCCATCTGTTGGTTCACTTCCCAAGCAGTCACAATGGCTGGAACTGAGCCAGTCCAAAGCCAGGATCCAGGAACTTCTTCCGAGTCCCCCACATGGGTGCAAGGTCCCAAGGCTTTGGGCCGTCTTCCGCTGCTTTCCCAGGCCACAAGCAGGGAGCTGGAAGGGAAGTGGAGCTGCTGGGTTATGAACTGTCTCCCACATGGGATCCTGGGTGTGTAAGGTGAGGACTGTAGCTAGCAGGCTATCACACTGGGCTCAGTTTCTAATGTGTAAAATAGATATGATAATACCTATGTCTAAGGGTCATTTTTTGGTTATGTAAATTATATAATCTGATCCAGGCTCTACCTGATTTATATGTTTCCTTTTTTCTGTATTTTTTAATTTTTATTTTTAATTTTGAATTTTATGCTATAATTCTGTAGAATCTGGGATTCTTCCCCCACAAATTCCCACCCCTCGACTGATTTTCCCCATATTATTATAATAGTTTAGTCCTTCATAAGGAGTTATAATTGCATCAGTCTGTTATTTGGTTTTTTTTTTAAAGATTTATTTTATTTTTATTGGAAAGGCAGATATACAGAGAGGAAGAAAGACAGAGAGGAAGATCTTCCATACGATGGTTCACTCCCCAAGTGAGTGCAATGGCTGGAGCTGAGCCAATCTGAAGCCAGGAGCCAGGAGCTCTTCCAGGTCTCCCATGTGGGTATTGGGTCCCAAGGATTTGCACCATCCTCAGCTGCTATCCTAGGCCACAAGCAGGGAGCTGGATGGGAAGCAGGGCCACCAGGATTAGAATTCACGACCATGTGGGATCCTGGTGCGTGCAAGGCGAGGACTTTAACCACTATGCTATCATGTCGGGCCCACCCGTCTGTTGTAAGTGTGCCCTGACATTGCTGGTACAGACAGTGTCAGACAGTGCAGCATCCCATTTTCTAGACATGTCCAACAGCTTCACTGGGAGTCCTTCCTGGATTTGGAAGTCCTTCCTGGATTTGGAAGTAGGGATACATGTTGCACTGTTTTCTCACATCTGGACATGGTAGTCTCTATTGCTCCATCACTATACATTCCCTTAAATGAGAAGCCACAAAACAAAGGTCAACAACAGATATGTTAAAACAAAATCAAAAAGAGGAAAAAGATACATCACCATAGAGTCAAAACAAAACAAAAAAATGTGCTGCTGAATAACCAACGTATGAATGACAAAAAGAAAACACAGAAGCCTTTTGGATAAAATGATGCCACTGTGTGGATCCATGAGAAAAGAGAAAAGAGAAAAGAAACAAGAGAAAAGAAAGTATTTGGAAGAAATGAAATGAATCAAAAACATCAGGTCACATGTGATGCAGCCAAAAAAAAAAAAAACCAGGATGGAATGGGTTATTGAAGTTACAATTTACATAATGGTTTCCTTATATTAGAACATATGATATTTGTAATTTTGGGATTGACTTATTTCACTGAGCATAATGGTCTCTACTTGGGACCATCTAGTTGCAAATGGTATAATTTCATTGTTTAAAGGCTGAGTAATATTCCATGGAGTAGATGTACCACAGTTTCTTTAACCACTCTTTGGATGGGCACCTGGATTGTTTCCATGTCTTTGCTATTGTAGATTGTGCTGCTGTAAATATAGGATTACAGATCCCCTTCTCACATGTAGTTTTCATTTCTTTTCGGTATATTCCTAGGAGTGGGAAGCTAGATCATATGGCAGGTTTACTTGCAATTCTTTAAGCATACTGATTTCCACAGCTATTACTAATTATAGCTTTTACCAGATTTTCAAGCAAGTGGTGCATAATAGTTTTTTCCTTTTTAAAGCGACTTTAGGTTACAGCATTATTGATACACAAAGTAGAGTTCCTGTATACATCCTGTTCCCACTGACTCATCTGCCTCACCGAGTGTCAGCCCTCTGAACCAGATATATTTTTACTCTCTATGAACTGAACACTAGACACATAATTACCCAAAATATATTTTATTTGGAAAAAAAATTTTTTGGTAGATACGTTTATTTGAAAGTGTGAGACAGAAGGGGAGACAGGGAGAGATGGAAAGAAAAAATAAAAAAGAGAGAGACCCATCTTTTATTCATTGGCTTATTCCCCAAATGACCAAGACTGGGCCAGGGTGAAGCTGGGAATCAGGAACTCTGGCCTGGTCTTCCTTGTGTGGCTGGGGCCCAAGCACTTGGGCCATTTTCTGATGCCTTCCCAGGCACATTAGCAGGAAACTGAATCAGAAATGGAGTAGCTAGGATTCTGATGTAGGGTGCTGTGTTGCAAGCAGTGCTTGAGGTGTTATACCACAATGCTGGCTGTATATTTCTAATTTTTAAGGAGGTCATTTACAGAGAATGTTTTCTGAATTGTGTCTTTGTTTTCAGGTAGGAAAACATTTGATGTGATTGTTATAGATCCACCATGGAAAAACAAATCAGTTAAAAGAAGTCACAGGTAAGTGGAATGAGTTCTCTAATAGACAAAACTTTTTAAAAACTATGGTCTTCTTTTGTATGTTCTAACTGAAAGCATTGTAAGCATTACTTCATAATAGTAGTTACTTGAAACAACTCAGGGCCCAGAGTGGTGGCTCAATTGGTTAATCCTCCCCTTAAAAGTAAAGGAATCCAATAGGGGTGCCAGTTTGTATCCTGGCTTCTCCATTCCCCATAGAGTTTCCTACTTGTGGCCTGGGAAAGCAGCAGAGGATGACCCAAAATCTTGGGACCCTGTACCTGCGTTAGAGACCAGAAAGACGCTCCCAGCTCCCAGCTTTTCCATCCTCAACTACTTTACCAGGCTGCCAGCAGGGAGCTGGATGGGAAGCAGGGCAGGCCCCCAGCCGTAGCTTTCGTGTGGACTGGTATGTGGCAGTCAGTGATACTCTACACTAACAGCCTATCTCAGGATTCCCATATGGTCTGGTGAATCAATCTGGCCCAAGTAGTTCTTATAGACACTCTCCTCCAAACCACCAGGTCTCAGTCCCCACGCTTGTCAGAAAGTTCTGGGACCCTGTTGCTGTGAATCACCCAGGATTCATCCCTCACCTACACTCACACTGGGCTTATCCATGGATGTCCCTGGACAGCAGTTACATACCCTAAATCCTCCATAGCTTGCCGCCAGGTGGCCAGCAAGCAGAGTCTGGCACCGTTATGGGCGCACTGGCCACCCAAAGCCTAGGACTTGGTTACCAAGATGATAGTGGTAGGGTGCAGCCCGGGCCTTAATCTAGTTCCCATGCTTACATATCCGAGCTTAAGTCCTCATCGTATATGGAGAGTGAGGAGAGGGATTCATCAGGCAGCAGTAGAGTCTGCATTGCCAAAAAGCATCCCTTCTGGAGAGGGGATTTGATGCACAGGTGGATGAGGTAAAAGCTTTGAGGCAGCAGTGGGAAACCAGGCGAATACTGACCTTGGGTGTGTTAAGTGTTGACGAGAGTCATGATCACTTGATACTGTAGAGTCAGTGGTGGTCCAGCAGGATAGCTAGGTATCATGTGATTTGTGGCAAGGGCATGCACACTACAGAATTTGTTTTCATACAACACCATTTTTAGAAAGATTTATTATGTTTTTAATTGAAAGGCAGCGTTGTAGAGAGGCAAGACAGACACACAAGGAAGATCTTCCATCCTCTGGTTCACTCCCTAAATGGCCACCTATATGGCCTGGTGGTGCCCCCCCGTCCCCCCGCCCCCCCGCCCCCCCCGCCAGATTTAAAAAGTTTTTTTTTCTTTTATTGTTTTCCATAGTACATTTTTGTAGGTATAGGGATTCATACCTCCTCCCTCCCAGTTCTCCCCATTTTTCTTTTTTGCTATTTCTCCCCATATTATCACAATAGTATAGTCCCTTAGTGTAAGTTTCAAGTTTAACTTTTTTACATTTAAATGTATCATAACATGGTAAGTACAGGAAAAGGATGTATATTGAAAAGCTTCATTGGGAGTGTTTTATTTGGAAGTAGAGATGCATACTGCATAGTATCTTTAAAAATAGAAATGTAAGGATTTCAGAGGATTGATTGGAAAGTGTAAAAGGAGGTAGCTAGTCTGAGAGTTGGGATGTGCAAGAGTGGAGATGAGGTTGCAGACGAAGCGGTGCGATGACAGGAGACACAAGGGGTTCAGCACTTCTGTAAGATATGTGAGTAATTGGGGAATGAAGATGTTTATAGAAGCAAATTGATTGTGGCATTCCAACTTCACAAAACATTTTTAGTGTCAAGTAAGTGGTGTTTGTAGAGTCTGGTCTGGGTTATTGAGACACTAGCTTCAAGACTCATTGTGATAGTTTCCTTTGTACCATCAGACTGTGGCATAAACAATATTTGCTTAATTTTGAATGAGAGAAAATATATCATAAATAGTAATATTACAGAGTGTAACATATTAAGATGTGATTTTAAAAATATGGGCTGGGATAGGCCTGGGGTTGTGCTGGACTCTGGGGGTCTCAACCCACCTGCATGGCTGTGGCGGGTGGGCCCCGGTCAGGCAGCCCAGGTGCCAGTGGTGCCGGATGAAGCCCCCAGGTCTCCTGGTAGAATGCTCTGGGGGACTTGGGCAGTGTAGGTTTAAAAGAGGTGTTGGGGATGGCGCAGGAGGGGGCAAGTGGGGACTTGAGGGTTCATGTCCAGATGAGGAATGACTACTGAGGAACTTCCATAGAAAAAGCCAGTGTACTTGCAGGTAAGCGAGACTTGCAATGACTGAGACTGAGCAGTTTTGAGGGGGGGACGGGGATCTTTAACTGTTAGGCTGAAGCATCAGCACATGTGGGAGACGTGAGCTGGGGTAGTTAACATCTACTACCACCAAATACCACTCACTAGTGCATGCTAAAGCCAGGGCTGGGGACCTATCTGGCAGGGTTAGATCATAGCACCCACCAATGAGAGTTGGAACAGGGGGAAGGTAATGTTAGGCTGGCCTGTGACACTAACTACACATGAGAGGATCAGGTCTGGGGGCAGAATCTGTCAGGCGTATGTGGTCTCACTCCTGTGGAATTGCAGTTCCCGCTGGCATGTGCAAGATATGTATCTGGGAACAGGCCTGGTTGGGGAGCTAAGAGGATGCACCGGTTGGGTAGGGGTTCCCAGTCTGAGCTGGACATGGCTGCAGACCTTCAACATGGGTGTGGATAGAGTCTGGTGTGTGCCAAATTGGGCCAGACTGCAGCACCCACTGGTATTCATGAGAGCCAAGGTTGGTGTAAAGCAGGCTGAACCACATGAGAGCTGTGTATGGATTTGGACCAGGTGGGGCTGGGCTGTAACACCCAACAGTAAGAAGCAGAACGGGTGTGTGCCGGTTGGGCAAGGTCACTGTTCCTGCCAGGACAGGAGGTAGATAAGGTTCATCTTTACCAAAGTCCCACCAGTATACACAAGGTCTGCCACTGGGAGGAGCCCTGATAGAGGAGCTCATGGAAGTCCTGTGTCATGATGCAGTCCCTGCAGGTGAGCGCAAGAGCCATGACTGGGAGTGCCTAGACCAGGCCAGGTTATGGCACTTGCCAGCATACATGCAGGTCAGGTCTGGAGGTGGGCCAGGCTGGGCCTGTTCCTAACAGCCACAGGCAGATCTGAGAACCAAGAAGGAATGCAGGATGGACCAGTTCAGGCCACAACAGCAGCCAGTCCACATTAGGGCCGGCACTGAGGGCTGTCTGGGCTGAGCTAAGCTGTAGTACCTGCTGGTGGATGCTGACATTGGGCGGGCCATCAGTCTGGGCGTGGTGGTTACCTCGTATGAGTCCTGGGGGTGGGATCAGGCGGGCCCCAGGTAAGCTGGCCTGACAGCACAATCTGGACGACTGGAATTTAAAGTTGATGACTGTGTCAGCAAATGGACATTGAAAGGGGTTCCTCATGCTTGGATTGGCAAAGCTGACAGCATTTCAGAACTAGTGAAACCACTTGGGCAGAACCCTTGGAGCATGCGCCACATTTGGGTCCCTGGGTTGATGTGGGGTGGCCATTCCTCATCCCTGGGTACTGGGGCAGTTGGGAGGCTGGGTATGGCTTCTCCCCTTATCTCCCCGCTTCTCCTAGGTGCAGGAGGAAGAAATAGAAAATTTGAAAACTGTGATCACAACTCTTTTCTCTAATCCTCGATCCTTCCCACCTGGAATAATTATATAAACATTCTCAAAAATAAAAATAAAAATAAAATTTAAAAAAACATGCTGATTTGAAAGATGAAGTTATTTCTGATATGTGTAACAATATGTCCACTAGATGTCACTGTGGCTTCATACTTAGCTACGCTGGAAGTGTCGCATTTGTGGGTGTTTTCTTGCTTTTTCTTTTTTTTTTTCCCTTTTAAACAAATTATGTTCATTTTCCCCTGTTTATTTTTAGATACAGTTATTTGTCACCATCGGAAATAAAGCAGATCCCTGTCCCTGAGCTGGCTGCCCCAAACTGCCTTGTTGTTACTTGGGTGACCAACAGGCAGAAGCACCTGCGGTTTGTAAAGGAAGAGCTGTATCCCTCTTGGTCTGTGGGGATGGCTGTGGAATGGCACTGGGTGAAAGTAAGTTGGTGTGGGGCACATGAAGGGGGTATTTGCTTCTTTCTCATTTTGTTGATTTGGAAAGCAAAGAGACAGGGAGGGACAGACAGAGATGCACATCTTCCACCTGCTTTGCTGCTCCCCACATGACCCCCAGTGGCTAGGCTGGCCAGCAAGGCCTGGAGCTGGTGCTCCATCTGGTCTCACCCAAGCACCTGGACGGCTGTACTTCTTTCCTTGCTAGCAGGGGGCTGGACTGGAAGCAGAGCAGCTGGGACTGGCACTGTAATTTGCAGTGCCAGCATTCTAGGTGGAGGTTTAACCCACCTTGCCACATGCTTGTACTCCATAACCCTCCATGCTTATCATTGCCCATGTTCTTCAACATGGTCTTATTGGAACTTACGCTTATAAAGACTCTAGTTGTCTTATTCTCAAAGATTTTCCCCTGTTTCTTCTGTTCTTTTCTAGTAGTGTCCTCAGTGTTGGCATTAGGAAATCAGTCAGGGAGCTGTCAAAATGGGATTTAAAGAAAAACTTTGATGTCTCCAGTTTAAAAACTTGGGAGAGGACCTGGCACGGTAGCCTAGTGGCTGAAGGCCTTTACCTTACATGTGCCGGGATCCCATACGGGCACCAGTTCTTGTTTCAGCTGTCCCGCTTCCCATCCAGCTTCCTGCTTGTGACCTGGGAAAGCAGTGGAGGATGGCCCAAAGCCTCGGGACTCTGTACTCGTGTGGGAGATCCAGAAGAGGCTTCTGGCTCCTGGCTTCAGGTCGGCTCAGCTCCAGCCATTGCAGCTGCTCGGGGAGTGAACCATCGGACAGAAGATCTTCCTCTCTGTTTCTCCTCCTCTCTGTATATCTGACTTTCCAATAAAAATTAAAAAAACAATAAAATCTTAAAAAAAAAACCCAAAATAACACTCAGGAGAATCTGTGCATTGCCAGACACAGAAGTGGTCTCTCTCATCTTCCTCTTCCCTGCAGACTCACGGGATGAGCCCGGCCGCTTTGTCATGGCTGAGGGGAGAGAGTAAAAGGCAAATCATTGGAGATGATGCGGGGAGATGCCTAAGGCAGCAGCTTGGGGCTCACAGCCTAAGGTTCTCGGTGCCTTACGCGCTGACATGCTTGGTTTTGACAGAAATGAATGCAGTTCTAGGGGTGGTTGAATGGTCTTTAATTCCTCTGCAAGTATATAAAAATAAAAAAATAGAGAATAATAAGGTAGAAGGTCAGAGTTTGTTAAGTATCCTTTTAAAGATGAATAACAAATGAATAACACAAAATCCCACTGCTCTCGATTTTTAAAAAGTTTACCCCATTATTATCAGCTTAGGGGTTGATATTTTTTACTGCTGGTATGTTAATTTTGGATATAATATATTGTTATGTATTTTGTAGTCTGTTGGAATATTTTCTAAAAGCTGTGTACAATTTTTAAAGACCTGTTTATCATTTTTATATATACATATATGTGTGTATATGTGTGTAGATCAGTTCTCTATTTTTGCTATCAGTTATATGCTTTGGGGACCAAAGTCAACAAAAGGTTATTTTCTGAAATCAAACTCAGTAATGTGTTACTATATAAAAGTTGAGACTGTTCATTTGTAGTTGCAATCAAATGTATGTGTAGGTTCAGAGTTTAAAACATAATATATGACATATCTATGAAGTAGTCATACGAACTATTAGAACAGAAGGGATTGTCTGCATTGAATAGAAAGGCGATGGAAGGAATCAGAGTTTGCCAGCATTTCTACTGTCGGACAGGCGCACAGTAGGGACTAACAGGAGAGAAGAAAGGGTGTTGGAACTGCTGAATAGGTTGTGGACGTCTTGAGGTAGGGTAAAGGATTTCACAGTTGACAGAAACAGATTTTCTGACAGTGAATATCTCCTCCTGGCAAGTTAATGAATTGATTTTTAAAATCACATTGCAAGTTTGAATAGCTTAAATGAATCTTTGAAAACCAAGTCATATTACAGTGAAATGACAAAATTCAATTTCTAAATTTATAATTCCAAGAGCTGTTTTCAGGACTAGGTATTGTCTATTTATTTACCACTTAGCTTCCTTTTCTGTTAATGTTGATGCTATTTAATGACTCCATTTTCTTACAGATCAAAATAAGACAGATACCTTATTTTGATCTCCTTAGCTAGATTGCCATTAGTCAGTAAATGTTTTTTTTTTAAAGATTTATTTTTATTATTATTTTTTTTATTGGAAAGGCGGATATATAGAGGAGAGACAGAGAGGAAGATCTTCCGTCTGATGATTCACTCCCCAAGTGAGCGCAACGGCTGATGCTATGCTGATCCGAAGCCAGAAGCCTCTTCTGGGTCTCCCACGTGGGTGCAGGGTCCCAAAGCTTTGGGCCGTCCTCGACTGCTTTCCCAGGCCACAGGCAGGGAGCTGGAAGGGAAGCGGGGCTGCTGGGATAGAACCGGCGCCCATATGGGATCCCGGGCGTGCAAGGCGAGGACCTTAACCACTTGCGCCACCGCGCCGGGCCCATTAGTCAGTAAATGTTATGTGAAGGAATAAATGAGTAAATTGATGGTGACGTATCAGTGTCAGGAAAGAACATCTGAGTGAGGAGCAGGACGCTTGGAGCTAGGGGGTGGCACACTGGATGACCTCCTGCCTTGTTGTGCCAACTCCCATATGGGTGCAGGTTCATGTCCTGGCTGCTCCACTTCCAACCCAGGCTTCTGCTTATGGCCTGGGAGAGCAGCAGAGGATGGCCCAAACTCCAGGGCCCCTGCACCCACGTGGAGACTCCCAGCTTTGGATCAGCTCAGCTCTGGCTGTGTGGCCATCTGCGGAGTGAACCAGCGGATGTACAGCTGCCTTTCTCTCTCTCTCCTTCTCTGTAAAATCTGCCTTTCAGATGACAATGAATTTTTAAAGAGAAAGAGCGAGCATGTCATGGAAATCTGTGTTAACCTGCTGTCGCTGCCGTGTGTAGTGTGGTAGGCAGTGTCATTGCTCTCTGGCTGCTCTAGACTGATGCGCTGCTGAGCGTGTAGCACACGCCGGTGCTGAGTGTTAAAGTGCAAGAGGGAATGTAACGTTTCTCAATAATTTTGAAGTGATCATATATTGGAATATTAATATTTTATGTGTTAGATTAAACATATATTTTAATTTCACTGCACTTAACATTTTTAAATGCTATATGAAAGTTTAATAATTATTTTTAAGGGGGGAGGGAACTATTAGAGGGATAAAAAAAAATAACCTTATTTCTGGCACTTTCTTATCAGATCACCAGTTCAGGAGAGTTTGTGTTCCCATTAGATTCTCCACACAAAAAACCTTATGAAGTTCTGTTACTGGGGAGAACGCAAGGAAAAACTGCTTCATCATTAAGGTAAGAAAGGTGATTTTTCCAGAAATCTGTCAGCACGCTAATTTTTAGGCCTTATAAATTATCAACACAGTGGTCATTGATTTTTCTTATTACATTTTTGAAGTTCTGAACAGAGCTCAAAGCAGAAAGGTATGAGTTTCCTGGCTTATGAAGTTTTGTAACCTCTATATAGTGTGTAATTTTTTTTTGGTGGGGGAGGGAGTTATAGGAAATTTCTCAATAGTTAAATCATTGATTTCCTTCATTGAATCTGTTCTTAACTTTGTTTTGAAATCAGATAATATATGAATGGGAGGAAAAAAAAAATCAATGCAAGTGCTTAAAATGCAGTTGACTGTTTCGTCCTGCTTTGATTAGGAACGCAGATGGGGGACTGCCCCCCATCCCACATCACAGAGTCATTGTCAGCGTGCCCTGTGTCCTTCACTCGCACAAGCCGCCGCTGGCTGGTAAGTGTTTCGTAAACTAGAATTTGTGAGACTCTTCTCAAATTGAAAAAAAGGACTGAATGTAGTGTTTGAGTGGCTGTAGACTTGGAAATTAAATCACATATGTCTTGTTTTTAGTTCATGTTCTAAGATCTCAGAGTGGAATTCCTCAGGGAGCAGACTGGTTCGGTGCCTTCCCTCAGCTTGTCCCCCTGCTCCCTGTGTCACTGCCTAGACACAGCGAGCACTCGGAGGCTCTCTGGGCATGCTGGCAGGGGGCTGTCCCTGACTCCTCCTTGGCCCTGCGCGCTGTTTGGTCTAAAGCAGGAACACAGGGCAGTGGGAGTGAGTGTGGTTACAATCCCCTTGGTATTTCCTAGGGCCTCCCATATGGGTGCCAGAACTAGAATCAGCACCCATATGGGACCCTGGCGCATTAAAGGCAAGGACTTCACCTGCCAGGTCACTGCACTGGCCTGTGGTGCTATTTTTGAACCATGGGAGGTAGGCATTTCAGGTGGTGTCATAACTGCCATACCAATTACCTGTCTGCTTATAATACATTTAAAATTATGTAGCATATAGTATAGGTTCAGTAAAAATACTACCTTTTTTGAGCCTGGCCAGTAGCCTACTAGCTAAAGCCCTCACCTTGCCCTCTCCTCCTGTGTGTATATCTGACTTTCCAATAAAGATAAATCTTTAAAAAAATGCTAATTTTTAAAGACTTATTTTTATTTGAAAGTAAGACTGGTAGAGAGGAGAGACAGACAGAGAGATATTTTTCCATCCTCTGGTTCACTCCCCCAATGACTGCAAGAGCCAGAGCTCGGCGTGTCTGAAGCCAGGAGCTTGGAGGTTCTGGATCTCCCGTGTGGGTGCAGGGGCCCAGGACTTGGGCCATCTGTCATTCCTTTCCCAGGCACGTTAGCAGGGAGCTGGATCAGAAGTGGAGCAGCTGGCATTTGGTGAGATGCTGCAGGTGGAGACTTAACCTACACCATGGAACTGGCTCCAAAAGAGAGTTTAAAACCTGAGAGGTAATCCTTGAGAGGTCTGGATTGGATATTTGTTTTTTTTCCCCCAAGGAATTTTTCTTCAGGAACGTATTTTGTTCACTCGGTGATTCCTGCTCTTAAAATCCCGTGGAAGCCCTTGAGCCTGTGGCTGAGGAGAGCACAGACAGCTCTGTCATTTCAGTTTGGTAGGAAATGGGTTAGGTCATGAACTCGGAGCAGAAAGGAGACACAAATTCCCCAGAGAATTGTTTTGGTAGCTCTCAGGATTTCTGTTATGTGGCTTGCACTGTAGAGTTCCCTAAAGTGGCAGACGCTGGCTATCTGTGTGCTCGTCTGTGGTTTGACTTGCTTTCTCAGTGAATAATCACCTCCAGACATGGGCCTGTATCCACCTCTGTGCTGCCCGTGTCGGACCTCACTGAAAAGTGAGATTATTCCTTCAGAAAAAAATTACAGTTGGCATCAGTTGTATTTAATGGATAAAATTATTTGTGTTCCTCTTATTGAATTTTCTTATCACTGAACGTCAGTTTTTAAAAAAGATTTATTTATATTTGAAAGGCAGATTTACAGAGAGAAGGAAGGACAAAGAGAAAGATCTTTTATCTGCTGGTTCATTCCACAGGTGGTCAGAATGGCTGGAGTTGACCTGATCTGAAGCAAGGAGCCAGGAGCTTTCTCCAGGTCTCCCAGGCAGGTGCAGGGTCCCAAGGCTTTGGGCCGTCCTTGACTGCTTTCCCAGGCCACAAGCAGGGAGCTGGATGGGAGCAGCTAGGACATGGACTGACACCAATATGTGATCCTGGAGTACTTGCAAGCAAGGATTAGCCATTGAGCCCTTGAGCCGGGTTCTGAGCATCAAATTTTAATTTAGTGTTTGTCTTAGAGTTTATGTTTTACTTCAGAAAATTAAAAAGTTAAGACAGAGAAGTGTTTATTATCAAGTGATAGCTAAAGCTGTTTACCAGTTTCTGTGTATGGCGTAGTGACAAGTGCTGTGGCACAGTGGGCTCAGCCTCTGCTGCTGCTTTCACTTGTGGCCTTTTGGACAGTGAACTAGCAGATGGGAGATCTGTCTCTCCCTCCGTCTTTCCTTCTAGCTCTGTAAATATGCCTTTCAAACAAAATTAAAACATTTTTTAAAAGAAATGTTTTGTAAAAATTATTCTTAAAGGGCCTGGCATGATACTGTAGTGGCTGAAGTCCTCACCTTACATGCACCAGGATCCCACATGGTCGCGAATTCTAATCCCGGTGACCCTGCTTCCCATCCAGCTCCCTGCTTGTGGCCTGGGAAAGTAGTTGAGGATGGCCCAAATCCTTGGGACCCTACACCCATGTGGGAGACCCAGAAGGGGCTCCTGACTCCTAGTTTTGGATTGGCTTAGCTTGGAGAGTGATCATCGGACGGAGGATCTTCCTCTCTGTCTTTCCTCCTCTCTGTATATCTGACTTTGCAATAAAAATACCTCTCTTCCTAAACTATTAAAAAATTATTCCCAAGAAAAATAATTTTTTAAATAGTAAAGATTAGTCCTGTCCTAAAGATGCTGTATTGGTGAGGTGCAGTTCTGTTGTATTCCCAGTAGATGGCAGTACAAACATATTTTTGGAATTGAATACATTTAAAAAGGAATTATATTTTTGGGAAGAATATGAGACTGTATTTGTAATTCTTAAGCTTTGGTTAAATACTTATAGGCAAGAAAAACTCATAATATTTTACTTTTGAGTTTGCATTAGTATATATATTTTAGTTATAGGGTGAGATTGTTTAAAGCTATTAGAATGTAGCTTTGATAATTCTGCAGTGTATTTGACTCTGAAATCATAATTCTAGGGATTTGAATTACTACACATTCTATATACAATGCTTAAAACTTACCTCTAACCACCATTGTGGAGCTGGAGCTGCCAGCAGCTTCACTCTGGAATGGGCTTTGGGTCTGGGGACTCTTCGCTGGGGGTTGTCAGTGAGCCTGAAATCAGGCATGTGTTTCCGTCCTAAGGGTGGGTGGGTGGGTGGGTGGGGGGAGAGAAAGGCCCCAGGCTAGCATGGTGTGCCCGTGGGCTGTGTTGGGATTTCATGCATGCACTTATGGGAAGTAAGGTCCCAGACCTGCACACATGCCAGAGGATTGGGTCTGGGAACCCATCTATCATTTTGGGTTCTGGTGGGCAGACAGAGCTCCCAGCCAGCATGCCTACCCATCAGAGGACTGGGCTTGGGAAAGCCAGGCTGTGGAACCCATGTGCTCCCGGGCACAGGGACCATGGATTGTTCAGGAAAGGAGGTATGGGAATGTGGAGGACCGCTGAGGGAACATGCTGCAGGTGAGGAAGGATTTCTGGAGGGGTTTCCACTGACAAGGCCACTGTATTTGCAAGTAAGCTGAGACAGCAGTTTGGAGGGAGAAAGCTGGAGGAGTTTTTTGTGTCAGACTGATGTACCTGCTCAAGTGGGAGACCTGAGTTGGGCCAGTAAGCATCGACCACCACCACCCACCACCCAAAGTGCACACAAAAGCTAGGGGCCTACCTGGGAGGGCTAGATCATAGGATACACTAGTGAGTGTCAGAATAGGAGACAGGTCATGTTAGGCTGGGCCATGACACTAAGCAGTACGTAAGAAAACCAGATCTGGTGGTACATTCTGTGGGGGATATATGGGCCCACCCATGTTGAACTGCAGTTTCCACTGGTTTGCTTAAGAGTTAGGGGTGGTGATGGGCTGAGCTAGGCATGGCCATTGAACCCGCTGACACTCATGGATACTGGGGTTGGGAATAGGCCAGGCTACAGCACAAATAGGTGCACCCAAGAATAGAATGTGGGATGGGCAGGACTGGGCTGCAACATGTACCAACTCATAGGACAGAGGTGGGAGACTATTCTGGGTCAGGGCCTAGCACCTACCGGCACATGTGCAATCTGGGTCTGGGAGTGGGTCTAGTGGGAAACTTGGAAAACTCCTTTGGTGGGTCATAGCTCTTGCTAGTAAACATGTGATCCAGGCCTGGGTGTTAGTCAGACCAGGCAAGTTAGCTCCATCTCTTGGCAAGTATGTGGGTTGGCTCTGGATGGGAGCGGACTGAGCAGGGGTGGGCCAACCTTATCTCACTGGCATGTGTAGGAGCCAGGCTGGAGTGCTTGGCTATCACATCTCTGTTTCCATGAGCCAGGGATAGGAGCAGACTGGGCAGGGCTAGGCTGCGGCACCTACCGTGGGGAGCTGGGACTGGGAGTGGGCCAGGACACTGTACAATGGGACAGGCCAAGATGGGGAAATGGGTAATACAGAGTTGGGTCCGAGCAGCCACTGACACATACAGCATTTGTGGCTGGGAATAGGCCTGGTTAGGCAGCTATGGGGACACCCTGGCTGGGTTGTGGTTCCCACTGGTAAGTGCAAAAGCTGGAATGGGGGCAGCATACTGGGCTGGACATGGCTGTAGTGTCCCTTGGCATGGGTGTGGACAGGATCTGATGTGTGCCAGCCTGAGCTACTAGACTTCAGCACCCACTGGTACATGTGAGAGCCAGTGAGGGTGAAGGGTAGGCTGGATTCGGTCTCAACTCCCGCTGAACCACATGAGTGCTGTGTATGGAAGTGGACCAGGTGGGGCTGGGCTGTAACACCCAACAGTAAGAAGCAGAACGGGTGTGTGCCGGTTGGGCAAGGTCACTGTTCCTGCCAGGACAGGAGGTAGACAAGGTTTGTCTTTACCAAAGTCCCACCAGTATACACAAGGTCTGCCACTGGGAGGAGACCTGATAGAGGAGCTCGTGGAAGTCCTGTGTCATGATGCAGTCCCTGCAGGTGAGCGCAAGAGCCATGACTGGGAGTGCCTAGACCAGGCCAGGTTATGGCACTTGCCAGCATACATGCAGGTCAGGTCTGGCAGCAGGCTAGGCCAGGCCTGTTCCTAACAGCCACAGGCAGATCTGAGAACCAGGATGGGGTGCCAGATAGGCCAGGTTGGGCCTCAACATCAGCCAGTCCACATTAGGGCTAGACTGGAGGCAGGCTGGGCTGGGCCAGCAAATGCTATGGTGAGGCGGGTCATGCCAGAGTAGGCCACAGCACCCACCAGCACACACAAGACCTGGAATTTGAATGTAAGGTGGGCAGTGGGAGGCTCCCCTGCTAGGCTACTGCTCCTAATGGTGAGCGTGAGAAGTGGGATTGGGGGCAGACCCTGCAGGGCAGGGCTGACAGCTGTGGGCCTACATGCTGCACACGGAGGACCCTGGGATGACATGGGGTGGCTGTTCCTCCTCCCTGGTACTGAGGCTCTTGGGAGGCTGGGTGTGGCTGCTTCCCTTGTCTCCCTGCTTTCCCAGATACAGGAAGAAGAAAATTTGGAAGCTATGGTCTCACCAACTTTTCCCTAATCCTCTATCCTTCCCACCCTAATTAATGGTGTAAACATCATCAAAAATAAAATTTTTAAAAAAGGAAAAAATAAATTAAAAAAATGTTAAATGTTCTTAAACTCTCCTATGAAAATTCATAAAAAATTTTCTAAAAATACGATGTGTTTTAACCTTGGAGAAGTCCCTATTCCTTGTTATATTAATTTATTAAGTATAAGTTTCTATGTGAACAGTGAAATATATTTGGTAGGATTTTGTGCACTGATTTTTTTTTTTAAAGATTTATTTATTCTTATTGGAAAGTCAGATTTATAGAGAAGAGAGAGGGAAAGACCTTCTGACTGCTGGTTCACTCCCCAGGTGGCAGCAGTGGTCAGAGCTGAGCTAATCCGAAGCCAGGAGCCAGGAGCTTCTTCCACGTCTCCCACACGGTGCAGGGTTCCAAGGCTGGGCCATCCTCGACTGCTTTCCCAGGCCACAAGCAGGGAGCTGGATGGGAAGCAGGAAGCTGGGCTTCTGGGATTAGAACCAATGTGCATATGGGATCCTGGTGCATGCAAAGCAAGGACTTGAGCCAGTAGGCGTGCACTGCTGTTCCTACCCTGTCTTCTGGAGCACAAGGGACTGGCTGGGCATGGCCTGCTCCGCCTGCTTGGGTTGGAAGTATGCTCTGCTGAAGCCAGGCGTTCTGTAACTAAGTACATACAATTCATGCTCATGTTTAAGTTTATATATTTGCATTAATTTTAAAATCATTAATGAAAGTCAGAATAGAGTATTTCTATTAATTTTTATTTCTTTTGCTTTGTTTTGAAGTAAAAACAAGTGTGGCTGACAATAACATGGCTTGATTGTCTTTTTCTAACTGGAAAGAAGAAAAAGCAAAGATGTGTCGTGTTGAAGAAGTCAGATACAGCCCCCTATCCAAATACCTGGCCGCCTTCTGCTTTTCAAAGTGAATACTAAGAAAACACGGCTGTTGTGCTTCCTACTTCCGTCCATAGCGCTGGGTGTAATTGGTGCTCAGAATGAACATTTCTGCTGACTGACTCCAATTTAGAGTTTCCTGATAGGAATGCTAACGTTTTTACAGCACAAAACTGAACAGACTAAGCAAAAACAGGGAAGATCTTGCTTCAGTCTGGCCTTTGACCACATTGAATGTAAATACAGACTGGCAAGGAATTAAATTCATGGAGAGAAATGCATAAAACATTATACTGTCGTCTAAGACTGGGGAAATTTTTGTCTTTCAAGTTTGGTGGCACTTAATTATAATATTATAATGAAAAGGACTAGAAGTCTTCATGCCAGGATTTTCTGAAAGCTAACGAAGCTCAGATTTTAAATCACCTAAGTTACACCGGATGTTTGTAATTCCTCTTTGGTTTTGATAAACAGACAAGTGAGCAAGCATTCTGTGAGAGCAGTTTAACAACACGGTGCATGTATCACCAGGTCAAAGCTCTGCTGTGCTGGCAGCCCAGCTGGGTACCGCTTTGAGACTCGGCTGTTCCAGTTTCCGTCCAGCTCCCTGCAAACGCATCTGGGGAAGCAACAGAGGATGACCCAGATGCTCGGGCCTCTGCACCCACTTGGGAGACCTGGCACCAGCCCCAGGCTCCTGGCTTTGATCTGGCCTAGCTCTGGCAGTTGTGGCCATTTGACAAGTGAAGTAGCGGATGGAAGAACTCAGTGTCTCCGCCTCCTCTCTCCCCAGCTCTGCCTTTCAAATTAAAAAAAAAAATCTGAGGAAGAATAAAAGAAAAACTTACACATTTAAAATATTTGACATATTCTCATTTAACCTTGTCTAAATCAATTATTCCTAAGGCAGCCTTAGTATTTATAAAGGGAATTTGATGGATTCCTTCCAGACAACCTCATAGAGCAATTTTATATATATATATATATATTTAAAGATTTATTTATTTTTATTGCAAAGTCAGATATACAGAGAAGAGGAGAAACAGAGAGGAAGATCTTCCGTCCGATGATTCACTCCCCAAGTGACCACAGTGGCGGGTTCTGCGCCGATCTGAAGCCAGGAGCTGCTGGGTCTCCCACGTGGGTGCAGGGTCCCAAGGCCTTGGGCCGTCCTCAACTGCTTTCCCAGGCCACAAGCAGGGAGCTGGATGGGAAATGGAGCTGCTGGGATTAGAACCAGCGCCCATATGGGGTCGTGCAAGGCGAGGACTTAGGTGCTAGGCCACCATGCCAGGCCCACAGAGCAATTATAAACAATGTTTTATCTGAAGAAATGCCTAGCATTGGGGCATTATAGAGTCACCTATGGGTGTCAAATGTACAATACCTCCCTTTTTTTATACTCAACCACTAAAAGAAAATTGATTCCTTTGTTAATTTTTTTTTTTAACAGAGGTCCTGAAAGACTACATCAAGCCAGATGCGCAGTGTTTGGAGTTGTTTGCTCGAAATTTACAGCCAGGTTGGACCAGTTGGGGCAATGAAGTTCTGAAATTTCAGCACGTGGATTATTTTATTGCCCTGCCACCTGGGTGCTGACTGTGATCTTCGCTAAAGTAATGACTGGCTGTTTCCTCACCCTCTGCTTTCAATGTCATCAACTTTTCCTTTTAATACCAATCGGTATGTTAATATATATATAACAGGAGTTGTTTTCAGCACAGTGAAGGTAACTTTTGATCGCATTAATATTCTGTGTTTGTCTTTATAAAGAGGGTGAGACTGTTGTTGAGTAGGTTCAGAAAGTGTCTGCTGTGCATCAGAGAAATCACAGTGCCGTCCAAGGATTTAGCCCATACAGTGTTATTAAAAAAACAAATAAATAAAAGTTGAACCTTAACTTGTAAAAAGTCAGAACATTTTACACAGTAGTTCAGATTCGTGCTTCTTACACACTGGAAACTGGTTACACTGAGGTCAGTGTTTCTCCCTGGCACCTGCAGGGCCTGGCAGTAACGGGCACTTGCGAAGGACCACTCACTATCCAGTTTTGCACAGAATGACTGCTTCCGTTCTGCTCACATGGAGTCTGTACGTGACCCTGTATGACCCGGACTTGTCCCTCTGGTGTACTGTTATGTTCTGGAAAAGCGTAGTGACCTTGCAATTACTACATAGGTATGTTATGTTTATCTAGCAGTTTTATAGGGTTTTCAGATAGTATGCAAGATAATTTTTCAGATTCCAAAAATTTTACTGATTTTCTGGAAGGAAAATAAAAGCATGTTTCTTACAAAAATATCAGAATGTAAACAGTACTTATTGTGAAGAGTATTTTTATTATGTACACATTTTTCTAAAAATAAATACTAAACGGAATATTTTGACTGAAAAGATTCTTTGAAAAGCATATTGGTTTACTAAATTACCATTTTAAAACTGAGGTTTACTTTTCATATGATGAAATTTCCAACTTTCATAGCAGAAGTCAGATTTGAATTCGTATGTATAGTTGTCCGTGTACATTTATCAGTGGTGATACAGAGAAGATGTCCTTTACTCCTGAACTTCTCATCTGTCCCTTTGCAGCCCGTTCGCTCCTGTGATCCTTCCTCCCTGGCAAGCACTGATGTCTTTTCTATCACTATTTTTGTTTCTGTGGAATTTGATGTGAGTGGGATTATACAATGTGTAGTTCATTGTGTTTTGACTTCTTTCGCTTAGCATTTTGGGAAAAATATTAGAGTGATTTACAGAGTGTTGGCATATACTTATCCACTAGTAAAATGTTAGGCTGAAAAATTTGGTAAGCTTGCCAATATATTTACTGATTTTGTTGGTGAAATTTTTTTGTTTCTTTAAAATTAATTTATTCTTAATTATATTTTTAAAAGATTTTATTTCTTTTTGTTGGAAAGGCAGATATACAGAGAGGAGAGACAGAGAGGAAGATCTTCCGTCCGATGATTCACTCCCCAAGTGACCACAACGGCTGGTGCCATGGCAATCCAAAGCCAGGAGCCAGGAACTTCCTCCAGGTATCCCTTGTGGGTGCATGGTCCCAAGGCCTTGGGCCGTCCTCGACTGCTTTCCCAGGTCACAAGCAGGGAGCTGGGTGGGAAGTGGAGCTGCTGGGATTAGAACCGGTGCCCATATGGGATCCTGGTGCGTTCAAGGTGAGGACTTTAGCTGTTAGGCCACGGCGCCAGGCCCTAATATCAATTATTTTAATAATGATTACATGATTAATCAGGGTGGGAAGGATCTAGGTTTAGGGAAAATTGGGTGAATTCATTGCTTCCAAATTTGCTATTTCTTGTTTCTTGGGGAAGGGGAGAATAAATGGGAATATCACTCACAACTTTACACATGTCCCAGTACCCAGGGATGTGGAACCGCCACCTCACATCAACCCAGAGTCTCAATGTGTACATATTTTGAGGGTTTTGTCCAAGTGGTTTGGATAGTGCAGAAATGCAGCCAGTTCCACTGCTCCAAGGATGATGTCACCCTCCCAATGTCCTTTGGCTCTATTCACTGATATTTTTTGCTGTCATCGTTTGTTTGGGGTAGTTGTGTAGCTTGTTCTGTTCTCCTCCTTCTGCTACAGCACCAAATGTGCTGCCATATTCTCCTTTACAACAGGGCCTGTGTCTACTGCTGTGCTTTGTTCATTAAGTAGGGCATGTTCTTGCAGGTGAGTCCAAGTAGTTGGGCCAGGTGTCTCAAGCATCGCTGAATCCCCCATTCCTGGGGCTCACAAACCTGGCACTCACCTAGTGGGCGGGCCCTGAGACCCAGGCCAGGTGACCCAAGCCCCACCATTCATCCCTTGAGTGTGAATACAGATTTCAGAGGCTTGGTTCTATGTTTATCAAGATATTCTATGTATTTAGGAAAATGATACTAAACTGGAAAAGAACCTTTTTAAAAAAAGATTTATTATTTATTTTTATTGCAAAGTCAGATATATTTATAGAGAGAGTAGGAGAGACAGAGTGGAAGACCTTCCATCCAATGATTCATTCCCCAAGTGACCGCAACAGCTGGTGCTGCGCCAGTCTGAGACCAGGAGCTCTTCTGGGTCTCCCCTGCAGGTGCAGGGTCCCAAGGCTTTGGGCCGTCCTTGACTGCTTTCCCAGGCCACTGGCAGGGAGCTGGGTGGGTCTTGGAGCTGTCAGCATTAGAATAGGATCTGATAACATATTCAATGCGAGGACTTTAGCTGCTAGGCTATGGCACTGAGACCTGGAAACTTCATTTGAAATTCTTTCTAGCTTCTTAATAATACTTTTATGTAGTTTGTGAAAAAAATTATTCTTATTGAGTGAATTTTTTATTTTTGTATCATGAATGCAAGGGTGGTGCTAAAAGATAAAAATCATCTGCATTCTTTAACAAGTTTAATTCTGTTTATTTACAGAACGAGAAAGATCTTGTTTCCATTCACTGGTTCATTCTCCAAATACCTGGGGCTGATTCCAGCAACCTTGAACCTTCACCCAGATCTCCCCCTGGGGTGGCAGGGACTCAGTCACTGGGGTGTCGTCTGCGTCCTCCCAGATGCATTAGCAGGAAACTGGTTGGGATGTGAAGGTGGGACTCAACTGTAGCACTCTCATAGGGGTCTTAGATGTCCTGAGACGTGGCGTAACATGCTGTGCTACGAGGCTTGCCTCAGAGAAGTGTTTTTATTCAATTAATGTGATACTCAAATGGTGGGAGTACCATGAATTGTACTGCCTCTGAACCTTATTTGTAGTGGTGTTTTTTGAACAAAGGATGATTCTTCAAAGTGTAGCAACACACCATGTGATGACAAAATGAAGGAGCCTGAGCACTGAGCTTGCACTTCATTACCACTCAGTTTTGGTCAGCTGATCTGAGGAGCTTACATATTATAAGACATATTCATTTCAAGCTTCTTATGTTCCCTTTATTCCTCGTAAGAACATTTGTTTCCCTTTCATAGTGTTTTCATAGATGTAAAGTGTTTTATGACCGGCTTGCCTTGTGTAGAGGGTGAAGATGCCTGATGCTGGCATCCAAATGGGCACCCACCTGTGTCCCTGTTACTCCCTGTTAATGGCCTGAGGGAAGCAGCGGACGATGACCCATGTGCTTGGGGTCTGGCACCCACCTGGGAAGCCTGGGTGAAGCACTTGGCCTCAGCTTGCCCATTGCTGGCCATTGTGACCATCTGGGGATTGAAGGTCAGTCTCTGATTTTCAAGTAAATAAATCTTTAATAAATGTGTTTTAGGACTATTTGTAATATTACTTGAACAAAGGTATGGAACTAACATTTGTTGAACATTGTATTATTTTTTTGCTAATTTAAAAAAAATTTTATTGTTTTTAATACTTTTTAACCCCCTGATAGATAGATTCCATCTTTCGTTAGAAGTTGAGAAAACTGAAGGCAAGGGACCGTTTTGTCTGTAAGCACACAGTTAAGCGTTGAGGCCCATGCCCGGTCTGTATACGATGAGCAAATGAGCAAGGCCTTGCAAAGTACTGCTGTTAGACTCTGTCTCCACTGGCTCTAGGTGTTCGTGTGATTTGGAGTTGTTCATTAACTACTCTTCTGGATGTAGGTCCTCTGAACTTGAGCTTTTGCTGCATTTGTTGCTTTTCCCTAATATTTAGTCAGCTTGATTTAATTTCAATTAGTGCTCTTGGCCACTGGGCACAGGCTCTTTTTTGTAAGTCAGATAGTCAGCTTAGCGCAGTGTATTTCACATGTTGTAAGGCTACCTTGAATAGGTTTGAACCCACAACTGGGCAAGTCTCAAGGCTTTAGTCTTTGTATCACAGATCTGAGCAGTAATGCTACCTGATAGAATGATGAGGATTAAGTAAATTAACAGGACACTTGAGGCAGCAGTTGAAACACTTGAAGCCCTCTTTACATGTGAGAACTTACGAATATTTTAAATTTTAGGTCAAAAAACTTATGACATTCCAGATTCCGGTCCAGGGATCTTACTGGAAGTGAAATAGCTCTCAGCATCACTAGCCTGCCCAAGGAGGTGTTTTGTTTTTCTTTTCTTTTCCTGTTTAAGTACTGTTTTTTCTTTCTGTTGTTTGCTTTCTTATTTGAAAAACAGAGATACAGAAGGAGAAACAGCGATTTTCTATCTGCTGGTCCACTCCTCAAATGCCCACGATGGCCAGGGCTGGTCCAGGCTGAAACCAGATGCCAAGAACTCCACATGAGTCACCCATTGGGTACACGGGCCCATGGACTTGCACCATCTTTCAGATGCATTAGAGGGAGTTAGATCAGAAGTGGAGCAGCCGGGAAACTACTTGTTACCCATATGGGATGTCGGCATGGCAGACACAGTTTGACCTATTGCAGCACAATGCCGGCTCCTTAGGATTCAGTTTTCTAGCCTGTGCCTGGTGTCATACATGAGGAAGCTATGGAGTCTTTCCTGATTCCCATTAGTCATCCTTCCTTCAAGACCATGTGTGACCTTGCGTCTGGGCTTTTGCTATGTCCCTGCTGTATGGGCTCCATCTACTTTGTTCTGTCTAGTCTTCCACATTCTAGGACCTTAAGCTCATTCTTACAAGAAAATCTTAGATCTTAAATCTTACCTTTTTGGGCTGATTGTAAAGACACATGACTGGGAGAGTTTTATGCATTCAGTTTTCTGTTGATATGGTTCAGAAGAGGGTTATAATCACTTCAAAGGACTTTCACTACTCAGTTCTCTTTGACTGGGGTGGTGCACCATTGGCCTGTTACACTTTGGGAAGCACCACAGGACTGGGTAGTTCTCTTTAGTTACCAGAGTTCTACAGTTAGCTGACTTTATCGTGAAAGCAACCTTATAAGGGTGTAGTTATAAAGAGGGAATTAATTCATAGAGGCTAGCTGATACAGCTGGCAGCCAACACTTGATCCTATTTTGGTTCTTAAATTCAGGGACTTTATATTGTACTGTATTTGCAAATAAGCCTGAATTCTTAATAATGAGCCCATCAGTGACTAACCAGAGGGTTGGTTGTATGGCCTTGATAGAAATTTATGATGATTCATATGTGCTCACCCCAATAAATGTTAATATAGAACAACATCAGTCTTGGGTTGTTGACACAGTACTTTTTGTTAGAGATGATAACCTGAGTGTAACTCATAACCTGATGGGCTCTTAAAAATTGTAACTAAGCCTTTGGCCTTTTTATCATGCACTTACAATTTTATTTAATTGGAGTATACCACTTTAAGTGCACATATTAAGAAAACTGTTCTGTAAAATATTCATCTGGACTTGAGGCTATTCACGTGGTTACAAAGGAGAAGTTAAAGTAAGTTCAAACTTAAATGATTTATGGTGATGTGTTCCAAGCTTTGGAATGTATGG